AGGATGTGGTGAAGGATGAAGCATTTTCAATGGATTCCTAGAATGCTGCAAGATAACACATTTAGGAAAGAATTCATTCTTTGAGTCTTCCCAAGTACATCATGGATGTAACCTAATGCAGATGTGACCTCTCACCACAGCAGTCTATAAAGAGAACATAATGGGATTCCCCAAAGGAAAACAATCATTTATATTGGTTGTGTCTTAGCTTTGGAATCTTTTGAGTCTTTTCTTGGTTGGGGGAGGGCACTGCAGCTTGAAGACAGACAACCTTTCCCAGAAGAACACATTAGCTGACCCTTTCCAGGTGGATGAGGTAGGTTCTTCAGAGTTGGGCACTAGCTAAGTAGATACAAAATAAATGAGTCTTAACAGTAGTAAGGCGAGCTCTGTGGGGATGTGTAAGGTACTGGCACTTTTGGGTCCTTTTGAGTCTCTAAGCGATAGAGGGGATCATGTGGATACAATTGCAGGTGGTAGCAGGAAAGATTGCACTGCACCTGATTTTACTCAAGCTCAAGAAAGTCTAAAGGAAATGAAGGTGTTAGTAGAAGTATGAGAAATCAATAGTCACAGAATGAGCTGGAAGGTCCTCTAATCTCTGAGGAAAATTCTCCCATAATTTAAATCAGTGATTATGATAATGAATGGATCCCAATTTCTTCTTATATGGCATTTTTTCTTTCAGTAGTTTGTTCTACACTATAAAGATCCTGTCCATTTTTATGCAATCATTCAAAGAAAATTCTCCTTCTATAAAAAAGCAAGTGTTGGTTGAATACAATAAATGACTTTAGCATTCAAATTCTGAATTGTGTTCAGAAGAATGATCATCATATACTTTAAAACTAATATATTCTAGAAAATATGCAGATGCTGTTCTGAGAAAACTGCCCAATCACACACTCTGACATTTGTTATGTGTTTTCTTGAAGAAAGAAAATAGACAGGAGTACCAAGAACTCTGACTCTCTAATATGCATTGAGAATCATTTAAAAGAGTGGCACCTAAGAAGAATAATCATCCATAGGGTCAGGAAGTCCCAGTCACAGAGAAATGGATCTATTAATGCAAGGCTGCACTGCTATTTCTCAAGGAACACACCAGCTGTCTGAAATTCCTAAAAGAATCAAGGTATTGTGCTACATAACTGGGATAAAGACTCAAAACAACAGGCCTTGCTTCAGCTCAGTGGGATCTCCCTAATCAAACAGATCTTGTAAACCAGATACTGTCTTTTCCTTTCAGCAATCATGGAGACTCATGGTCCTACTAGGAAGAGGGAATGTGAGGGTGAGGAAACCAATATGGATTCATGAAAAGAAGCCAAACATGCATTTCTTGACCTGCACAAGGTGAGGTCAGCAACCTGTGTGTAGTTTGCACCCCTAGTTCCTCATACAAACATAGTACCTGCCCTCTGCTGTTGGTTTGGTGAATGGCATTCTACTTACTTACTTCATAGAAGGAGCTCAGACAGGGAGAGCTCCACCCTGGCCAGGAACCCTTATAATCTGAGGTTGCAGGATCAAAGTCAGCAGACTAGACTGGAGTCTTTGTGAGTGTAATAGACCGAATGTTGTTGGGGCATTCACACAAAAAGATTAAGAATTGCACTAGGGGATACAGGCATACAAAAGCAAGAAAGCAGGAAAGGAGGGAGGGAGGGAGGAAAGGGGGAAGAAAGGAAAGAATGAAGGAAGGAAGGAAAGAAGGGAGACTGGTTGACTCCCTTTCACCTTTGGGCTCCTGGCCTGGAAACTGCAGCAGGGCTTCAAGAATGCTGTGAACTTTTTTCCTCTGGCTCCTCAGCATCTTGAATTTCTTTATTTTAAAAAAAATCTGAAGAAGCATTATATATAAATGCTATTTCAATTTATGGAGTGGATATGTTTAAAATATAGAGATATTCAAAGAATTAAATGAACATTTTTTACTTAACAGTCAAACATAGCCACTGTGTGTGTTTTGCTGTATTTACTAACATTTTTGTAGACAAAATGTGGTCATGTGTTACATGCCTCAATATTTTATATGATCTTGATCTTGTCCAAGCATTTTCCATGTGACTAGACGTTATTATACAACCATAGTATATTTCAGCACTTACATACAAAATAACACATTCAATCAATTTTCTCTTTATGGGAGGGGTGAGGATAGGTAAGACACCTAAAAAACTAGCTAGCATTTGTTGCCCTTAATGCAGAGAAACTAAAGCAGATACCTTAAAGCAACTGAGGCCAATAGGAAAAGGGGACCAGGAACTAGAGAAAAGGTTAGATTAAGAAGAATTAACCTAGAAGGTAACACCCACGCACAGGAAATCAATGTGAGTCAATGCCCTGTATAGCTATCCTTATCTCAACCAGCAAAACCCCTTGTTCCTTCCTATTATTGCTTATACTCTCTCTACAACAAAATTAGAGATAAGGGCAAAATAGTTTCTGTGCTGGGTATTGAGGGGGGAGTGAGGGGTGGAGTGGGTGGTAAGGAGGGGGTGGGGGCAGGGGGGAGAAATAAACCAAGCCTTGTATGCACATATGAATAATAAAAGAAAAATGAAAAAAAAATTTTTTTCCCTTTATTACTTTTATTGTTGTTGTACTGGGGGTGCATTGTGACATTTACAAAAGTTCTTACAATGTATCATAGTTGAATTCACCTCCTCAATCATTCTCTTTTTTCTTCCCTCCCTCACTCCTGGAACAGTTTCAATAGGTCTTACATATGTATGTTGTGTTCTTACCATCTTTTCTTTTTATATTATATTATATTTTATATATACATATATATATATATATATGTATATATATACACATATATATACATATATACATATATATATATATATATATATATATATATATATATATATATGTATATATGTAAAACGTTGAAATGATTGCCCTAGTAATTGTGTTCAGAGATGAATATTTTCCAATGGTGTACAAGGAGGGTGGAGATGTTTAAGAATTTTGATTTAACTCCCAAGCTCCTACCTTTGTTTTTCACCCTTAACAGTTATGAATTGTCCCTCAGAGTCTCCACTCGGAGCCTGCTCTTTCAATGGTAACTGTTCCTAGAGATGCTAGTGACATTTTACATCTTCCCAATGAGCCACAGTTTGAAGTCACCTCACCATGTGTATATCTTACTGATCCAAGTGACATCATTCTCTCCTTCTGCTCTGACAACTACTCATCAACTTGTAAAACCTTGCTAGACATTATTTTGTCTTTTGGTTTCCAAGTGTCTGATCTCTTCCTAAACTTACTTCTTGTGGTTGTACAGCACACAAGTGCTGCCTGTCTCATGCTCCAAAATTCTTGGTTATTATGGGTCATCCATCTTGTTAAGGAATGGTCACTCCTCAGTGATCACTGCAACCCCTCTGAAAATCCCTCATATCCTCTGGAGACAGTTTCCAGATACCCCAGATCTGTTCAACAGAACTTTTGAAAAACATCATGGACAGGGCAGCAGGGACAATGAGAGGCAAGAGTCTGAATATCTGGGCTATGGTATGATTCAAAGGCATGACTTCTGGGTGACCATAAGTGATTATCTTCCTCTTTCTGGATATCCATCTATCTGTTTATCTGGGAAATGAAATGGCTGAACTAGGTACTCTTTAGTCTTCTTTACTCTAACATTTTATATCATAATGCTTTCCCTGGATTTTATGGTGGCTTTTTATATTATATGTATTAATCTTTCTTCAGAAAATTATTAGAAATTTTCTGTTCTCTTCCTTTTTTATTTGATGTATTTTTTTGTTTTATTTAGTGAAGTAGTATGCATATGTGTATATGTGTGTGTGTGTGTGTGAGAGAGAGAGAGAGTGAGGAGAGAAAGAGAGAGGAGAGATCTGAGAGAGATACAGAGAGAGAGAGAGAGAGACAGAGAGCTGAGTGTAATTTTGTGAGAGCGTATGTTTGTCAGGGGAGCGGGTAAGGATCGTATCTCTTAAGGTTCACCTGCACCAGAAACATGGATTCTACTCTTCTGACCACAACTTCAGATATCTTCACCGTGGCCACCCAATTTTAAAAGAAGTCTAAGATGATAAAGTCAGTGTGATGTGTGTTGTGTGATTTGGGAGAACAAAGTGTGAGGAAATGTGTGTGTGTGTGTGTTGTGTGTGTATCAATGCCTGTGTACTGAAATCTATCCCTGTGTGTAAGTACATCAGTAGAAATGGGTTTGAGGAGGTTAATGTGAGTGTTTAAGTGTTTGGCTCCATGCATTGGTAACATCGAAAAGGAAAGATGAATAAAGACCAAATAATCAGGTTGGAATATATACAAGCACTATTTTGTTGGAATACTTTTTTTAAAAAAAATGAATCAACTGAACAGAATAAGGATAATTTGGGAGTCAGAGATGGCTTGAAACAGATACCATGAAACCTTGGATGTGACTCACTCAGGTGAAAAAAGAAACCCCTGTTCTTGCTGTGGCTGTCTAAACTCTGGATGGCCTTGGACACTCTCCCATTGTCAGCCCAGGAGTGTCCTGTATGTACAACAGCAAACACACACACACACACACACACACACACACACACATGTTGTGCGTGTCAGTATCAGGGCACTTCTGTTCATATACCTCATGACCAGCATTTACTGTACTAGCTCCTGCTTCATTCTGAGAGAAGTGTAGTTGAATTAACCAATGACAAATGCACAGCCAGGTGTGGAGTTAAAAGGATTTAATGGGAGATTCACTTGTTCCCTCTCCAAATCCCTCTTCAGAGGAACCCTGACCACAGGGAGACTATTTCACTCAGTAAGACTTTTGTCCATATTCAGAGGTTCAGGAACCCACTAGAGTGTGAAGGACATCTTCTTAGCAGATACAAAGAGAGAGGGATTATGACTCAGGGTCACAGCTGGTTAATTGTAAGGCCAACAGACGAATGGAACTCATAAGCCGAATAGGAAAGGAGGTTCGGCACCTGGTGATCATCTCCTCAAGGGCATGGCTGTGGACTACATTACTTCTGCTTTGTCTTCTGCTGAGCTGGTGCTGGAGTGACCGTTGATGGGCAGGGCTCAGGTACCTTTGGCTGGCAGGGTTGGGGCACCTTGGACTGGCAGGGCTCAGGCACCTTAGGATGGCAGGGTTCAGGCACCTTGGGCTGGCAGGGCTCAGGTACCTTGGGCTGGCAGGGCTCAGGCACCTTAGGATGGCAGGGCTCAGGTACCTTGGGCTGGCAGGGCTCAGGCACCTTGGGCTGGCAGGGCTCAGGTACCTTGGGCTGGCAGGGCTCAGGAACAACAGTATTGCAGGGCTCCTTGGTTTTGGGGACACATGTTTCCTGGGGAGGAGGCTGGCAAGGCTGTTTCACTTGATGCTGCTGCAGCTGAGGGGGTACAGTGCAGGGCTGCTTTTGCTGCTGGGAGCTCATGGTTCAACAGTGACTGGTTCTAGAGACAGAAAAGCTGACTCAATGATCCAATGAAAAAGAGAAGAAGCTAAGTTCAATTCCGATTAGATTTCTTTTCAGGCTCCTCTAAGAGAGGAGGGACCTCTCTTCCCCTCTTACTGACTCCCACATTTGAAAACAAAAATGTTGTGATCATTTCTGGGCCTTTTTAAGAGGAGGAGTTTAAAGGTAGTTTGTTCTGCTCCATTTCACTGGGATTCTTTCCTTGGGATTCTTTCCTTAGCATTCTTTATTCTCCAGAAATGTCATATCCCTCATTGAAAATGCCCCAAGAAAGTCGGCTTCTGGGAGTTATGCAAGCCAATATGTCAGGACTTTTAGAAATTGGCATCACAAAAGTGATTGCAGTCCTCCATTCCTAGATTCACACAGAATACTGTGGACTTCCAGAATGGGTCTAATTAATTCATCCTCCTAGGGCTTTGCTTCTGGCCTGTGTTCACACAGTTTCCTCTAAAATGCTTTCTTTTCCCATCTCTGCTTGTCAAATATTCCTCCATCATAACTCACATTACATGCTACAACTAAAAAGATCTTCTTGAACAATGCCCACCAAATCACATAGCCCTTCCCTGCCCCTGTTCCTTACACCAACCACTATCTCTCCTTCATTTCATCTCTTTGTGTACATGTATTACCATCCCTGCTAGGTTGTAAGTTTGATAACTTCCATAATGGACTGATTTATCTTAAGTACCTAGCACACTGCTCTAAATACATCCATCTAATTAATTAATCCATCTAATTAATTAAAATTTTCAGTAAGGATCATATCAAAGAGAACTGGGGCATTGCTGAGAGTTCTCTGGACCTAAGCCTTATCCCTTATTCTACTATGAACTTCCTGTGGACATTTGAATAGATTCTTCCCTTTCCCTGACCCCAGGTTCCATGTCCAGTTAGGTGGCAGAATTAACTATCTCTAAGTTTCCTTCAGACCCAAAGTGATTCCAGTATTCATTAGATAATACCCTGCATCAACTTTCTTATACACATTTGCCTTGTGCAGTTTCCAATAATGAAAAATAAACAAGAATTTCAAATCAGTTGCAATTGGAGACTCACCTGGTGCACACAGAAGAAAGGATTGCCTGGTTGCTTGGGTCTGGTGTGAAGGCAATGCCCAGGTGGCTTTTATAAGATGAACAGCTCCAGGAAATAGACTTGTCCTAGCCACTCTGTTTTCATTTCTACCTGTCATACATGACTCACCCTACTCCCCTCCATCACCCTTTGACTCAGCTTTTATGATGAAAATCACTCAGCTGATATAATGACACTGGCAATCTGACAATGATGTCACCTGGGTTCCACTGCCACCCTCCCCATCAGACCCAGGTGTCATGCCTGTGGTGGGGGAAAGATGAGCAACAGGCTTCTGGAGGGTTTAATGAGTTAGCCCTCAAGGAAGTCTGAGTCCTCCTGTACCCCTGCCACCTGTTATCTTTCTTATGGTAATGGTTGCTCCCATGTTCTGTGGGATAGAATACTCATAGGCACATGAAGGGAAGGGAAGAAGAGGAGCTGAAGTGGATACTCACTATCTTTTAGTGAAGGTGGATGCTAGAGATGGAACTGACTGATTATAGACTCCTAATTGGTGGATTTAAGACTTTAGTATCTATTTCACACATCTTTCTCCCAACTCCACAAAACTATACACACTTAGAATTATTCATTTTTCACCCCCCAGCCCTACCCCCCTGACTGATTGCTAATCTGGGCAAACCTGCTTTGTTTTTACAAACCACACCTTTACCCCTTTGCTTCTGAGATTTTCAATGGCTAATCTGTCTTCTTAGGTAATGTTTTCTCTCTGCTTCAGGCAGCCAGTTGGCTGTGGTCTTTTCCTCCTTCCTAACACAACTGTATTTTGTTTCCCACCAGAAAATCTGGAAGCCTTTATCAGCTACCTTCACTTCATCCATGGAGTCCTCAATGATGAACCTTCTGCCCTCTCTTTCCAACTTTGGCTTTCATCCCTAACACCTGGAGATTCTGCTGGCTACAGGGTTTTCCTGTCTTCTGACTTTTTGTCCCTGGGAGTGCTCTCAAGGGTCAGAGCTGTGCCTGCTCAAACCAACCAGGTTTCCATGTTTCCTCTTCATGAAACAAATATTAATGGAGTATCTAATGTATGCCAGTCATGTCTGTCATTCTAGGAGCTATCTGAGATGAATCTCATTTTCTCAGACAGACAGGGGGCTATTTGGTTTAATGGAGCTCAGAGAATCTTTAATCCACATTTCTGAAGAGATGATTGGGGATTTAGACCATAAGAGGAGTAACAACTCACCCAAGGCCAAGCAACAAACCCTAAGGGGAAAACAAGGGCTACATGGAAATCCCACCTCTCCTTTGTTTTAATCCCTCTATTCCCCATGGGGGAACTAAATCCAGGGAGAAAACCAGGAAGGAAAGGTGGAAAGAGGAACTTAGACTTTCAGTATATTCAGTGGGGGTTGAGGGGGGGAGTGAGTGGCAACATGAGAGGACAGAAAAAACCCAGCCTTATGGAGGAGCCCTTAATCATTGCTAGAATGAGTCCCCTTAAATAGGAATATAAAGGAAACCCTAAGGGGAAAACAAGGGCTACATGGAAATCCCACCTCTCCTTTGTTTTAATCCCTCTATTCCCCATGGGGGAACTAAATCCAGGGAGAAAACCAGGAAGGAAAGGTGGAAAGAGGAACTTAGACTTTCAGTATATTCAGTGGGGGGTTTGAGGGGGGGAGTGAGTGGCAACATGAGAGGACAGAAAAAACCCAGCCTTATGGAGGAGCCCTTAATCATTGCTAGAATGAGTCCCCTTAAATAGGAATATAAAGGAATATAATGTTGCCATGGGAACTTTGTATTATATCAAGTGGCCCTGGGAATAAACAGTCAGTATTTCTATCTCTGCTAAAAGTACAAGAGGGCATGAATTAGCAGAGGCATAAATATGTACTCAGTTCAGTATGAGAAATCTGGAATAAAGACCATTAAATCCAATATCTGAGAACAATTTCCTCTTAACAACATAACATGAAACTGAGGTCACTGATATAGAGCTGCATTCCAAACACAGTTTATTAATAGGTGTCTCCTTAAAACTCAGGCGTGTAGATGGCTCCTCTTTTCCATCATACCTCCCTACCCTCTCCACCTAAATGTTTATGGAGCACTTTCTGGCTTCACAGATGGGTTACCTCCCATGAACTGGAGTCCAGATTAGCCTCCCACTGTGTGGCAATAGCATTGGTTTGCATTCATTCAAACACTGTGTGTGGTAGCTGCTCCATAACTGGTGATTATAGACTGCTTGACTGATTGAATGAATGAATGAATGAATGGGGGAAGGAGGGAGGGAGGGAGGGAATGACATTATTTGCAGAAAGAGGCTTGAGAGACTTCTCCAATTACTGTTGAAAAGTCCCTTGTAAGTAGAGCATTCCCTTGGGATGGGTCTTTTAGGATGAGCTGAGAAGAGGGTTAAGGACCCACCAAAGTACAGATGATGCTTCTGCTGCCTTACCCATCCACCTGCTTCATCTCCAGCCAATGCCACCACCACACCTGAGGCCCTGGTCTCTCGCCTCACTTCAGTCTATTCTAGGTGGCTCTAGGTCCCTCTCTTCACTAAATCCCCTTCTCCGTCCCCCTTCTTAATGGCTGGAGCTCCAGCTGGAACTTGCTGCCACCTTGGTGGAAGTCTCAACCCAAGAGGGGGCTGCCTCTTCTCCTCTGTGTCCCAGTGCTACCCACATTGTCTCAGGTCCTGAGAGATCTGAGCTCAGCTCTGAAGCTGTGCTACTCCCTTGCTTTCCCTGGACATGAAGGAATCTCTTCCTCTGGGTACCTGCCCTGGCTGAACTCTCTTGCTGCCTCAGCCTGTGCTTGCTTCACCCCAAGGGTGCATTGGCTTCAATATCTGGTTCTTTCACATGACCCAGCATTGTTCTCTCCATTTGTGTATCTCATGCCTACTCAGGGGCTTGTGTTGAGGTTCTGGTGCCCCTTGAAGACTTAGTTTTTTCACCACCAGGAATAGGTTAGCTATTGAATAAGGCCTCACAAACTCCCACAAAAACAAAGGAAAATTGGGTGACTTTTGATGCTAGATACATATCTCGTCATCCTCAGTCTTACCTGAATGTCCTGACTCAGGGCCCAGGAAGCTGCTGTTCTTCCCATGTTGAAAATTGGCACTTTTGTCCCAGCAACTGGATCCTCCACTAACTCTGAGCAATTCCTCTGTGTCACTCCCCTTTCACAAAGAGGAATGTATTGATGGCCTTTAGCCTATTCCATGGTCAAGCTTTTCCTTCCTCTTCACTTCTCCAAGGCCCAAACTTTGCATAGAAGGTCATGCAGTATTCAAATTTCAGTCCTTTCCCCACGGGAGTGTGTATTCAAAGACTTGTGTAGTTTTCAGCAAACTTTATTTTCTCCTATTCTTTGTCCACACAGAGAAGCCAGAGAGACCAGAGTATTGGCTACTTAATTCAGGTCATGATGTGTTTTTTAAAAGGTTTCCATAATACACAGGTCCCTTGTATGAGAAAGAGCAGGGAAAGAAGGAAGAAACCCCAGATCTCAGATGTTAGGAGTTTCCTGAACACTTTGGTTGAACAGGTAAGGGAAACTAAGTTTGCTGATAGGGGTGCAGAGGTGAGTAGAGAATGAGAACTCATAGCAGCAGGAGGCCTCTGCCCAGCGCCTTATCCTGGAGAAGGGGAAGAAGCTGGTGGGGGAAGGGACCTGTTTTCAGGCTCCACAGCTTTTTTAGCAGCAGAATCAGACCAAAATCTAGAGTACACGATACTCCCCCCTGCTGTCTCCCTAACAACAGAATTGACCTTTACTCTCCTTTTTCTTTCTATCCCTGAAGGGTTGCATAAAAAATTTTAAATTTAAACTTTTTTTCTTTTTTCTCTCTCTTTCTTTCTCTCTGTGAGGGCACACATCTTTTTTCAGTG